CCTCCTCCTCCTCCTCCTCCTCCTCCTCCTCCTCCTAGCAACAACGGCCACGAGGGCTCACCGAGAGAGCCTCCTGAGGCCCTCTGGAAGGCTCCAGAAACTTCCCAGGGACTTGCCATCGCTCGAACGTCCACTCTCCGCGTAGTTTCTTGTTTCGTGCGGCGTTTTTTTTTTTGCTCGATGATCCAGGGTGCTCCTCGATTGTCCTCGCCGAGAAAATCTGCACACGTCCGAGCGATGCAAGGAGGAGGGCCGAAAAGGGTGAAGAACCTCGACCCCCCATGTTCGACCGCTCCACTGCTCGGCAACATACGGCTACAAAAAAAGATCGCCCCCGCCTGAAAATCTGCAATGATCACTTGCAACCACGGCGGGTGGCAACAAAAAAAATGTGTACGGCACTCTCCGGTTGCATCCACCAGTCCAGGACCCCAAGCCCCAGCCTCGTGGGAAGGAGAAGGAGGAGGTAGGAAGGACGAGCGGGAGGACGAGGCGGTGAAGGACGAGGAAGAGGGCAGGGCGAGAAGGAGGGCGGGAGGAAAGGGAAGAACGCCAGGATGGTTGGAGTGGGGGGGGGGTGCTCGAGCTGGTGAGGAGGAAGAGGGGGAGAGGGGGAGCGGGCCAGGGGGAAGCTGGAGGGATTGGACTGGCGGGATTGACCGAGCCATGCTAGGTCGTGCCCGAAGCATGCAACATCATGCCCAAACGGAATTGCGTGCAACCAAGCTGTCGCTCTCGCGTGCCGCCCCAGCTCGCGCTCAGCTCCTGGCTCGCACCACTGCTCTCGACTTCTCAGCAGCGACGCTCGAAGGGTAGCACCGCATCCCCAAGAGCTTTGAGCACGAGCCAGGGCGAGGGAACAACGAAAGGAGAAGACGCGAGCAGTGAAAGGACCAAAGATGCGATACTCTATCCCTTCGCTGGCGCTCTCGTCGTCCGCCGCACTAGTCCTCTCCTCCTCCTCCTCCTCCTGCTCCTCCTCCTCCTCCTCCTCACCACCACCACCACCACCACCACCACCACCATCATCATCATCATCATCAGCAGCATCATCACCATCATCAGCAGTAGCAGCATCATCCTCATCACCATCTTCATCATCATCAGCATCATCCTCATCATCATCATCATCATCATCATCATCATCATCATCATCATCATCATCATCATCATCATCATCATCATCATCATCATCATCATCACATCATTTTCATCATCATCATCATCATCATCATCATCATCATCATCATCATCATTAGCATCGCCATCATCATCATCATCATCCTCATCTTCATCATCAACATCATCATCATCAGCATCATCGTCATCAGTATCATCATCAGATTCAGCAGCATCATCATCATCAGCAGCAGCATCATCACCAGCATCATCAGCATCACGAGCATCATCCTCATCATCAGCGGCAGCAGCATCATCAGCAGCATCAGCATCAACATCATCAGCATCACCAGCATCATCGTCGTCGTCATCACCATCATCATCAGCGTCATCATCAGCATCAGCATCATCATCATTGTCATCGTCAACATCATCATCAGCATCGTCGTCATCATCATCATGCTAATCAGCATCATCATCAGAAGCACTATCAGCACCATCATCAGCATCATCAGCATAGACATAATCAGCATCATCAACATCAGCATCATCATCGTCGTCATCATCGTCAATGCCAACATCATCTCCATTACAAGCATTATCATCACCATCTCCATCATCATCATCATCATCATCATCATCATCATCATCAGCAGCACCATCATCATCAGCATCAGCATCATCGTCATCATCAGCTGCATCAGCATCTCCATGATATCCAGCAGCAGCAGCAGCATCGTCCGTCGTCGGCCTCATCGTCATCCGCATCATCAGCATCATCGTCAGCATGATCAGTATCATCCTCATTACCATCATGAATCATCTCAATCAGCATTATCTTCGGAATCATCAGCAGCATCACCAGAATCCTCAGTCGTCGGCGGCGTCGTCGTCGACATCATGATCGTCATAGTCATCAGAAGCATCATAATCAGCAGTACAATGATAGCCGTCCTAATCCTCGTCATCGCCATATCTATCATCACACCACCAAAATCAGCACTTCAGCATCAGCATGCTCATCATCGTCTCATCATCATCAGCATCTCATAGCTGCATGTTTTGATTTTATATCATCATCATCTATCATCATTCTCATCATCATCTGCCATCATAATCTAATCATCATCATCATCATCATCATCATCATCATCATCATCATCATCATCATCATCATCATCATCATCATCATCATCATCATCATCATCATCAATCACCATCACCATCGTCACAATCATCACCATCATCAACAGCAGAAGCAGCATCAGCATCCGCATCAGCAGCATCAGCATCAGCATCAGCATCAGCATCATCAGCATCAACATCATCACCCTCATCGTCGTCAGAATCATCATCACCATCAGCATCAGCACCATCATCATCTGCATCATCATCAGCAGCAGCATCATCATCATCGTCACCGTCATCGTCATCGTCATCGTCGTCATCATCAGCATTATCAGCATCAGCATCATCAACATCAGCAAAATCATCCTCAAGATCATCCTTATCCTAATCATCCTCATCCTCATCCTCCTCCTCCTCCTCAACATCACCATCATCATCACCATCCGCCCGCTCCCACCTCTCCTCGCTCCTCCTCGTACCACCGCCGCCAGAACCACTGCCCCAGGCAGAGTGAAAGCAGATGTGACAGTTTGCCGTGCTTCTCCG